TTTATCTACAAACTCTACATGTCTAGCAACTATCACTCTATTATCTATAAGAACTCTATAACCTACTTCGCTATAACCTAATAGGATACCCATATTTGCCTTTCTGTCCCACTTTGAAACTCTTTCCTGTTCGGGTCTTCTCACAAAAACTGTACTTCCGTAAAGACGTAGATTTGTAACATCGGGCTTTCTTTTAAAAAATATTTCAAACGGTGTTTTCACCTCGACAGTATTCGCTAGAGTACGATTTTTCAAGTAGGTCGCAGCCCATATTATTTCTGGCCAAAAACGCTTATGTACCTGTGCCTCCGCTACCAAGCAACGTGCCATGTTGCACATAAGCTGGACAACTATTAACAACAATACCTTTTTCTTTAGCGAAGTCATAAAAACGGTTGTTGAAATATTCCTTTCCGTTATCACACCTTAAAACTTTAATTCTTTTACCAGTTAAATTTTCGCATTCATTTGTAAATTGAACTAGGCAATCGAAAACTTCGTCCTTGGACTTTATACAATAGACTTTCGCAATTTTACTGTAGTCATCGATAAAGGAAACAAAATATTTTTCCCCATTTAGACAGGCTGTTTGAAAACTACCACAGACGTCGGTATGGACAATTTCTAAAATATCTGTGGCTCTAGATCTATTATTCTTAAACGACAAATTGGACATCTTATTTTCTAAACAAGTCTTACATTTCATGAATACTGGTTCGAGTTCATTTGGAATGCCTGTTAACAATTGTTGTTTGCATAAAGTATCTAAATAGCTAAAATTGACATGGCCCAGCATTCTATGCCATTTTTCCTTTTGAGTCGTGTTATTATTTTTACTTTCAGCAAAATTTACCAAAGGATCTTTGTACTTTAGCTTACTTTTCATCCTGTATGTTCTATTTTCTTTAAACGCTACTACTATGATTTTACCACTTCTTTCAATGATTTTTGTTACGTTACCTTCAGAAACAATAATATTTTTATCTGTTAGCTTCCCATAACTTATTAGATTCGAATGCATATCTTTCGCATAGAACACATCTCTCATGTTTACCTCATTTTTCCTACCAAACGCTTCAAAATAGCTAACTACTTTTCCAATTTTCGTTGCTTTTATAAATCTATTATCTCCCAAATATATGTTCACAGGTTCCTTGAGTTGAATACTGTCCTCAAAATATTCCTCATTGTTAATTATATGGTCGGTGCACCCGCTATCTAACAACCAGCTTATTCGCGATTTCTTAACCTATCTACTTCGCTATTATACGTCGTGTGAACTGTTGCCACCCACGCGCTTGCGCCTGAGCTGTTTTGCTCGTGCTGAACTTCACGCTGTACACCTGCTCCCTGCTGACTTCGGAAGCTTCCGCGCCCTCTGCCGTAGTAGCCTCTGCCATAACCTCTTCCAGCTCTTTCTCTACCTCGACCACGTGTTGGCCGGCGCCAAAACCCGCCATTGCTTGCCGCTTGGCCGCCATCTTGACAGTCTCTCATAATGTGGCCAGCCTTCCCACACTTGAAACAGGCTCGCTCCTTTTGATTTTTGTCCGCGACAAATACATTCGATTTTCTTGCAGGTTGATCGTCTTTCTGATGCTTCATTTCAGCCATCTGTATTTTATTTTTTACATACGCCACAGTTTGATCCTCTTCTTTTAAGGCGTCTATCAAATCACCTATGTAGCTGTACGATTCAGGTAACGTGTTAGCATGTAATTTAATTTCTCCTTTTCGGATACTCTAGCACCCGCGTTCTTTAAATCGTTGACTGACCTTTCAAAATCACAAAAGAATAACGCAGAATCACTATAATTACTAAATTTCAGTTTTTCTAATTTATTTCTGCACACGATCTGTAGTGCCGTTGACTCTTTCAAATACATCTCGTCGAACTTTTTAATTATTTCATAAGCCGTATTTTTTTCACTTACAAATTCCAGTTGCTTGTTTGATATTGCGCCGTATATATAGTTTATTGCTTTTAGGTCATTTTCGTTCCAGTCAGCTCTATCTGTTTCATTTTGTTCTCTTTTAATAACATCATCACACTTTTTTAACTTTAAAAACATTGTAATACGTTTCTTCCACATGCTATAGTCCTCTCCAACGAAAATTGGAATCGTGATATCGTTTTTCGACATTTTGTTTCTTGTTCTCGAACTTTCCTTCGTGTTCGACGACGCACTTACTAATTTTTCAACACTTCTCACTGCACGATACTTTTAGCTACTAAACCACGGACCTCTGCTACCATGTTAATTGTCTTCTGTGTGAGTACAAAATGAGAGTCCTTTAATAGGTAATGCATTATATTTGATGCAAATTAAACAGATCGCACATGCTCGCACTGTCACGTATTCTTCTCATCTGACGAAAAAGCTTGACTCACCACGTGACCGGTGGGGGAACGCACACATACACACACAATTCAAATGTACATTCACGCAACATGTTTTATATTTTATTACTAATTCTCAAGGAAGTAAACACATTTGATTTATACGTAGGTTAGGTTACCACCAGAAAGTGGCCGGCAACGCTACAACAGTCGTCGTATCTCCAAAGTTTTGAATAGAACACCCTATAGATAGTCAGGTTGGAATCCCCGCTGTGTCAACGGCTGTTCGACACTTGACGATGTCAGCTTACTACAGCGAAGACGGTTGTGTTACGTCTGTATAGGAAAAATTCTATGTATTGTACAAAGGTTTTTAATTAATATCTCGGAAACTAATAGGAAGCCGAAGATACCACTTTATATTTGGGGTCCCCCCCCCCCCCTCAAAATTTCACCTTGATCGGCGACCGGTCGTATTCGGAACTTTATCCTTCATTTATACCAATATTCCACAGCTATTAATAAAATTTATTTAATTGTTAAATAGTATACTAAATACGTTTCAACCTTTTTGGAGGCGGCGCAAAATTGGCAGCATCGTATATTCGGGTATTTTTAATTTTGCGCCGCCTCCGAAAACTTTGAAATGTATTTGGTATCCTATTTAACGATTAAGTAAATATTATTAATAGCTATGGAATATTGGTATAAGTGAAATAGAAATTATTTGACACTTTTCAGTGCATTTGGAAGTCGGATTTGTTTTTTGTTAAAAATTATTTTATTTCACACTTTTTAGTGGAACCTTTGTAGGATAGTGTATTTGTAGGATAGTGTAAGGTGATTTTGGGTTTCTGTTGCTTAGCTAATAAACATAAACCGAAAAAAAATTGACCGAATTTAAGTGGTTAATAAACAACAATTGCTTTCAGCGTAGCAAGTTAATTTAGAAACGAATGGTTAAGTTTCATTTAAATTGTTTTCAAATTTTTCATCATTAACGTATCCTCCAATTCAAACGTTTATTAATTATACCACTTCAAACATTTTTATTTGTTGTTTAGAATCCTTAGAATTTCCTTTTTTACATTATGACAGGCGATAAGAGGTTAGGTTCCGTATTTATTCTAAACAGCGACTAAAAATGTTCTACCAGTTCAGTTTTTTTATTATGCCATGCCAACGGGCTGCCAAGCCGTTCGTTCGTGACCTACGTCAGACCCAGTTTTCGTAGCAGACACTGCAGTTCCTGAGACCGCACGCTATACGTGCTTGGATTGGTCGATGTTTTTTGTTAATAACTCGAAATCCAAGCCTTAACCAACATTTTGGCAAAGGAAAAGGTTGTTTAGAATCATCTTAGCAATTATCCCTCTTCGGCTGTCGAGGTAGTCGCGTGACACCCTGAATATCCTACTAAATATGAGAGGTTTTATCGCAAACGATACATTCCTTGCAGAGTGACGCGAAGGAATAGATTTTTTGCTATAACAGTAGTTATTAACAAATTCCATAAATTTTTGCAAGTGGGATCATCGCGGATATACATCCTAGTAAATTTGAAACGTTTCATCGCAATCGGTACATACCCTGCAGCGTAAACGCCGAAAGATATAAATGTAGTATTACGTCTTTTGCAATAAAAACCGTTCGGAATGAAAAAATGCAAAATGTTTTTTTAACGGGACCAATCGAGAGACATACTCTACCAGATGTAACAGGTTTTGTTCTGATTGGTCCATCCGTCTCGGCGTAATCGGTGAACATACATAAAAAAAAAAAAAAAGTACATACACATCGAATTGAGTATCCTCCTCCTTTTCGAAGTCGGATAAAAAATACTTTGCAGTGTCCACAGTGTGGGAAACAATTAATTCTTAATCGCGAGAATCTATATTTTCGCTGTCAAGTTTCTTTTTATACTGTAGATAAAAAGAAAAAGAAGAAAAAAATGAAAGTGCGGTGCAACTATGTGCAATCAATGAAAAAAGGGACATGGTTTGAGAGTGCTCACTTTCCATTATTAACAATTATAACATTTATTACGGAATGGTTGTTGATCTCATCACCACGATTCGGATTTATCACCGATGATTTACATATTGCATCGTACACCTTCGTCGATTGGAGTAGTTTTTGTAGAGAAGTCAGATTTGACGTAGAGATTTAATGTTATACTGCTATTCCTCAAAAAATTTAATGCTAACATTTGATTTGTATGGTAGGTTTATGTAAAATGGTGCGAGGAAAATTCGATTCAGATAGGAGGTTCTGATAAAATTGTAGAAATTGATGAAGCGTTTGGAACGCGTAAATACCACCGTGGACGCCTTATGCAGGGTGTGGGCGATTCGGATTGAATATTGGTGAAATTGGTAGTGGAAAGGCACTGATAAAATCTTATCACTGATTTGGATCTTCGAGGAGGAATTCAAAAACACTAGCACTTATAATTCGTGTATTTAATGAAGATATTACTCGTCGTTTGTATAATTTACAATTCGTCAATGTACTTGTTACTTGAAACAAAGCTATTTACTTATACTGAACTTCAATAATTATTCACTGGTTATAAGATGGTTTGTAACAGGTTGGAAATTCGGTTGATGTTATCGCCCTGATCGCTTTCGTTCTATTAATTCGGATGCGGTTGTTCCACATGGGAATCGGTAATCGCGGCGCTCTAGTCGCCGCTGCGACTGTTAATCTATAAAATTTTGGTAGAGTCGCTAACGGCGCTCTCGTTAGTTATCGACCGAGAGCTGTGACATTTGGTGGTAATTTCGCGACACATCCGTGAACACAGGGTAAATGGGTTTTTGGCGGGTATGAGCGGGGTTCGAAAAAAGTCTTCATTGTAGCCGTGGAAAATAGAAAAGCGCAAACACTGTTAAATGTAATTAAAAAATGGATACTTCCAGGAACAACAATAATCTCCAATTGTTGGAAGGCCTATAATTGCCTTAATAACGAAGGATATAAACATTCAACAGTGAACCATTCGTATAACTTCATCGATCCCGACACTAGTAATTGATTTTCACTACATTATTATTAAAGTTTGTTTTCAAAATACTGATGTTTTCCATAATTACATCTGTCTAGGTGCACATACAGAATCTATCAAAAGAACGTGGAGTGATATCCGTCAAAATATTTCCAGATATGGAAATAAAGAAGAGGATCTAACTTCATATCTAGCAGAGTATCTTTTTAAAAGAAGTCATACACGAGCTGAAAGAATTGACGCTATGTTTCAAGAAATCGCGAAATTCAAAATTGTTAATTCGCAAACTGACAGTATTCCTAGTACGGCATAGCAATAATACACAGAATACATATGCATACAAACACATACACACATACACACACATATACACACCTACATGTACACTGACAATGAGTTCCATCGAAGTTGTCGCAGTGAAGTTGGCGCACTAACACATTCACGCCGCGTCGGTGAGCCGATGGTCGAGGTGCCGACGACGCGGCGTTTGATGTGCAAAATCCGCCCAACAACCTCCTCGTAGTGCACATTGGTTAAAACTAATATTGGCGGTATTTTATTTTTCAGTTACTTATACGTCTAGGTTAGGTTAGGTTAGACTACATCAATATTCCGGCCGTCTTTCGGCGGCCGGCCACGCGAGCAAGTGTTATAATTTGATTTCTCAGCTCACCCGTTGTATGAATAAGAACCGGACCACACGTTGTTGCCTATAGCAACGGTAGGCAAGAGAGTCGGCACACAAATGGCGACGGGCGCATACGTATAGGCAGAATTCACTGTAGTAGTAACAATATTCTTTCGCGAATATGTCGTAAACTAATTGAGTCCGACATATAGCTTAGAGGAAAAAAGTTGCTTAAAATATCGACTTTTACAACATATTTCAAAATGAACGAAATCGGCGGGGGAGTAGCTTTTCTACAAGTTCACCAAAATTCGCATTAAATCGAATATCGCACTATGTGAACGAGCATTAATTGAGACTTACCTGAATACTAGTTTTAGCTCGACGTGATATGTGTATAGAAACAGTAGAGACAGGCGACTGCATGCTGACCCATACACCACCAGAGTAGGCGGTAGAATACATGTAGGAATACGTAGAATTCAATGTAGTAGTAACAATAGTTTTTCACGAATAACTTGGAAACTAAAGCTTTCAGTTGATTATGTATAAAATAAGAAGTTCTTCAGCATCATGCCCCCGACAGCATATTAAAGGGTCATTGAAATCATTCTATGTTGAGATTAGAAACCTCCTGCTTTTTGCAATAATAATCCTTGGCAATGAAAAAATGCAAAATGTTTTTTTAATCGGACCAATCGGGAATTACACTCTACAAGATGCAAAAGGTTTCGTTCCGGTTGGTCCATCCGTCTCGGAGTAATCGGCGAACAAAGCCAGAAAAAATAATAGTTTTTCACGCAATCTCGAAAAATAAAGCTCTTCATTAATTATGCATAATGAAAAAGTTGTTCAGAATCATGCTCCCGACAATATATTAAAGGATCATTGAAATCATTCTATGTTGGGATTAGATACTTCCCGTTTTTTTGCAATAAAAACCGTTCGGAATGAAAAAATGCAAAATGTTTTTTTAACGGGACCAACCGGAAGACATACTCTACAAGATGCAAAAGGTTTCGTTCCGATTGTTCCATCCATCTCGGAGTAATCGGCGAACAAAGCCAGGAAAAAAAACCAAGAAAAAAACAAAATATACTGATCGAATCGAGTATCCTCCTTTTTTTCGATGTTGGATAAATGAAAGATTTGTAAGAAGTTTTGTAAGAAGTTCCTGTTCGGAACGTAACAGCTGCAGTAAGTGTACATAAAATGTATACCTTTTTTAAAAATTAAGATAATGATTAATTTTGTTATATAATATTACAATAGTATATAAAATAGTGCAAGAATTATGCAGTAATGGAATAATGATTATCTCTATTCTGAAAAAATAAGCAATACAAATGTTGGTGTTTGTTCCTTTGGTGAATGGGTATCTTAATGCACAGAAACTATTTAAACTTACAATAGCAGTAACCATTATTTTTCTTATGGTCCCAAGGATTATTGAAAAAAGGTTTAATAGTTATTCAAGTTCAGAAATAATTTAGAAACGCATATAGATGGCGAGAACACAGAACCGAGATAGTAACTCAAGTCGAATAATCCATTCGATCAGAGCAGCCCTCCGAAAGCCCGAAACTTCAACTTCTTTGAGAAGAGGAACACAGGTCGAGGACGTCGACGGATTTGCTCTCAGGGAAAAGTTTCAACTCGTGAAATCCCAGTGCGGTTATGAGGAGCGCCTTATCTGCTGCGGCGAAACTACCGTCACTTGGTTAGGAAAACTTATGTTGAAAGTTTGCGTTCTGAGTCCAAAAAGACGTCGCACTTTGAAGGAGGGGCAGGAAAAATAACTTTGACAATTTCAAATATGGAAGATTTCGAAGGGAATAACTTGGAACTAAAAAGATGAATCAGAAAAGAGTGATTTATTTGTCACATTTAGGTAAAACAAATGGAACGTGCTGAAAGGATTTCTAAAAAAATTTTGTTAAAAATTTCAAACATCAACTTTATGCAGTATAACATTCATCAAATTTCTACAAAAATGATTATCTACCACTATGATCTTTAGAAACAAATAAAACTAAAATGTCATGTAGCAAAGAATTCTCAAACATTTAATTAAAAAGTAGCATGTGTATTGTATGTTTAAGTTATGTTTACATGCATGAAATATTTCAACAAAATCAGTAACATTGAATTCTCAATCGAGTAGGTTATTGGAATAATTAACATTGAAGATACCGATTTTGTAAATGTTAGAACCCATGAGTTTGACGATCTAGGTTCGTTGCGCCGTCTATAGGTATTCTAATCGAGTAGGCGATCTGTGTTGTCCCGATCGATGAACTATTGAGAAAAGCGCGGGATACGTGGCGTCGCATGGCATTCCGTGCTTAGTGCGTAGAGAAGGCGATACGAATGTGAAATCCAAATATAGAGTGTTAATACAAAGAGATCCATGGTTTTGTTCAATCGAAATCCAACAGTAAACTATGGTATTCATCATATAATATTACAACGAGATTAGTAATATTGAATTTTGAACTTAAAATCAGACCTTCTTACAAGGGACATAGCCCTTAAAGTTGGGGTTGCAAAACATATTTTCTTGAATATCTCAGGAACTATTAGGTGTAGGCGAAAAATTCAAAATGGAGTTTGTGTGTTTTTAAACAGCAAATTTTTCTGTGTAGCTACCTTCTTGATAAATTTATTTGTTTAAAAAATATATTGAAAAATAATCTATTTTTGTCATTTTTTTCACCCCTTCAGCATGGACGATTGCTGATAAAAAAAATACGTGCCAAATATTTTTTTGAGTTCTATATCATACTCAAAGGGCATCAAAATCGGCGTGTGTCGATTGGGTAATGTCCCTTGTTAGACTTCCTCGTAGCCGGCGCACAGTGGGACAAAACGGCTTTCGGCGATCAAAATTCTGTAACTTCGGTTCTATTGGAAATATTTTAATGAAATTTTGGGAAGTCTTTTCCTATATTATGGTACTTAAGTTGTACCAATATAAATCATATTGAACTACAGGGTGTCAAAATATTCACGTATAAAGTATAACGCGTTCAATATCCTTCACTTGTAAGACATATTTTTTCGGATTAAAAATATCCGAATATACGATACTGCCAATAATGATTTGATAAGTTGCCGACGTCTGAACTAGAATCTTCTTAGTAGAAGAAAAGTTTTTAATTTTGCGCCGCCTCCGAAAAGGTTGAAATGTATTTACATAGTATACTATTTAACGAGTAAATAGGTTTTATTAATAGCTGTTGGGTATTTGTATAAATGAAGTAGAAATTATTTCATACTTTTTAGCGCATTTCGAAGTCGGTTGTATTTTTTGTTAAAAATTATTTTATTTCACACTTTTTAGTGGAACGAGCAATATTTGTAGGATGCTGTAAGGTGGTTTACCGTTCTTATTGGTTAATTGCAATAACGATAGTTTTTAACGATAACAAGTTCCATACAAGTTATAACAATAGTTATTAACAATGGCAAATTACATAAATTTTTGCAAGTGAGATATCGCGGAAATATCTCCTATTAGATGTGAAAGGCTTCATCGCAATCGGTATATGCCTTGCAGAGTACTCATGTATATAAGAAACAGTAGAGAATCGGCGACTGCATGCAGACTCGTACACCGGTAAAGATACGTAGGCATACGTAGAATTCAATGTAGTAGTAACAATAGTTTTTCACTAATATCTCGGAAACTAAAACTTTCCGTTAATTATGCATAAGGAAAAAGTTGTTAAAAATCATGTTCCCGACAACATATTAAAAGGTCATTGAAATCGTCCAATCTTGAGATTAAAAACTTCCTATATTTTGCAATAACAATGAAAAAATAAAAAATTTTTTTTGAATGGAACCAATCGGGAGACATACTCTACAAGATGCAAAAGATTTCGTTCCGATTGGTGCATCCATCTCGGAGTAATCGGTGAACACACAAAAAAAAAAAAAAAAAAACATACATACTCATCGAATTGAGTAACCTCCTCCTTTTCGAAGTCGGTTAAAAAATAAATACGTTGGCCCACCGAACTCCGCATTTTTAGGTAATATTTTTGTTATACTCTTAAAAAATATGAACAAGTATTTACGAGGAAAATTTTCGAATTCACTGACAAACGATAATGAACCTAGCACGAGTATCGCTGTAAAAAAACAGAAGATTTGGGAAAGAAAGTATAACAAAGACTACATTCGATATGGATTTTCGTGTTGTGATAAAGACACGCCACCCAAACCAGAATGCATCATTTGCGGAGAAATGCTATCTAACGAAGCAATGGTACCCAGTAAACTGCTTCGCCATACAAATTCAAACCATCCCAGTTACGCTAAGAAGGATAAATCATTTTTTCTTAGGCTGTTAAATCAAAGGCGAAAACAAAGGCAATCACTGTTATCGTCAGTTACAGTTTCTGATAAAGCCTTAGAAGCTAGTTACCATGTTGCAAGATTAGTTGCAAGATTTACAAGTCCATGATTAAAAACAAACGATTAATTTTGGATCTGACTCAACAACATTTAAGTTTGTTGCAAGAGAAATTTAATCACTATTTTTTCACAATTAATACGGAGCAATACAATTGGATTAGAAATCCTTTTCTAGCCGATGCCGACAATTCAACAGAAGCACTTTCCCTTCAAATTCGAGAAGAATTTATAGAATTGAGGAACGATGGGACTCTGAAACTCAA